CGAAAGCGGGGGGGCGACGTGAGCGACTCCAAGCAGTTCACCTACTACCCCGTGGTGGAAGGTGAGCACGGCCCAGGCAGGCCGGCATGCCCCCCGCCGCCGCGGCTGCCCCTCACCCCGCTGCCCCTCTCTCCCCGCAGATAAGGAAGAAGTGGAGAGGAAGCGCAAGAAAGTCCTGCCTCAGTTTCCCCAGCACTTTGGCGGGGGCTCACACATGGGGGGTGCCGGCGGAGGGGCCGGGGGCTTTGGCTCTGGAGGAGGTGAGTGGGGACGCCTCTTGCCCTTCGCTGCTCGGGCGGCCATGGCCTGGCCCTGGGTGCTCCCCACTCCCCTCTGGCCTCACCCGGCCTCCCCCTTGCTCCACAGGTGGGAACCTCAGCTTCCCCTACTCCCCTGGGCTGGCCTACAACAGCATCTACTCGCCCGGCCCCCATCCCGTGGGGGGCTACCAGGGGGGTGTGCAGATGAAGGGGCCCGAGGTGGAGGGGCCCGGGAGCGACAGGCAGGCACCCGCGGAGAGCGTGTACTGCAAGGAGCTGCAGAAGCATGGTAGGAAGGGGCTGGGCTGGAGCGAGAGGGTGGGGGACATTGCTCGGGAGAGGTGACATCTGGGGGGGATGCAGGAGGGTGGATGGGGCTGCTGCTCCTGGAGGTGACATCCTGCTTCACCCCCCAGCCCAGCTCTGCCAGCTGTGGATGCTGGCACTGGCACATCGCAATGCCCACGCCCTGCTCGACTACTCGGTCACTGCCGATCCCCGCATGCTGCTGGCGGTCCAGAGGCACCTGGCTGCATCACAGGACGAGAACGGAGACACGTGAGTGCATGAGGGGTTTGGGGAGGGAGCGTGGGAGCTCTGTTGGCCGTCAGAGCCATTATGGGGGCTCTGGGGGGTGGGAGCTGGCAGGGAGGACCTGGGGAAGCATGGAGCTGAGCCAGGGACCATCCTGCTCTCTCCCCAGGCCTTTGCACCTTGCTATTATCCATGAGCAGACGGCTGTGATCAAGCAGCTGATCGAGGTCATTGTTAGCATCCCCAACCAGCAGATCATCAACATCTCCAACAACCTGCAGCAGGTACATGTTTCCCAGAGCAGCCGGTTCTCCTCTACCTGGGGCTTGCTCCCGTTTCCAACCCCGGGGGCTCCCATTGCTGCTCCCGCTGCGGGGAGGCTGCAGTGCTGAGCACAGTGCAGCCACGCTGGCAGGGACGGTGCTGCGGGACTCGACTCCTCCTGCGAGCGCTGCTGAGAGGCTGCTGCTGTCCCGCAGACACCACTGCATCTAGCAGTCATCACCAAGCAGCCCCAAGTGGTCCAGCTCCTGCTGCAAGCCCGCGCTGACCCCACCTTGCTGGACCGCTATGGCAATTCCCTGCTGCACCTGGCGCTCCAGACGGGCGATGAAGAGATGCTGAGGACGCTGCTGGCCCACCTGGGCTCGGCTACCCCTTGCCTGCTCCGCCTGCCCAACTTCCAGGGTGAGTGGTGCTGGGACATGATGGGCAGGAACCCAGTGGTGCTGTCGTGGGCTCAGCCGGAGGGCGGCTGAGCCTCTCCCCCTGTTGCAGGCTTCCTGCCCGTGCACCTGGCAGTGAAGGCAAAGAGTCTGGCGTGCCTGGACCTGCTGGTCAGGAAGGGAGCGGACGTGAATGAGGTAGAGAGGCAGGGTGGGAGGACCCCGCTTCACCTGGCTGTGGAGATGGAGAACCTGAACATGGCCACCCACCTGGTGAAGAAGGTACAGGGGTGCTGGCGGGTTGGTGGCTGTGGGATGGGGATGGAGTACAGCCTCCCCTGTGGTCTAAGGGGTGACTGGAGGTGTGGGGGGGCAGTACCTAGGCAGCCCATCCTCACAGCCTTGGGCCTTTCTTTGTAGCTGGGAGCAGATGTCAATAGCCTGACCTTCGCCAGGAACACCCCCCTGCACCTAGCTGCCGGCCTGGGCTCCCCTACCCTCACCAAACTGCTCCTCAAAGCTGGTAAGGCACTGCCCTCGCTCCCCTCCCCGCAGCCCCGGCTGCCCATGCTGGGGAGTGCTCGGGCACAGAGCAGAGCCCTGCGCCCTGGGCCGACCTGCCCTTCTGGGGGCTCAGTCCACCCTTCCCTGACAGGGGCAGATGTGCTGTGTGAGAATGACGAGCCCATCAGCCCATCCTCGTCGGAGGCCAGCAGTGACACAGATGGCGACCCTGAGGAGCAGGAGCTGGCCATGGAGCTGGAGGAGCCGGCCCCGGCTGTGGAGCGTGGCACCAACCCTGAGCCCCCCACGCAGGGGCACGGGCAGGCAGGGCACAGGCAGCGCCGCTGCCACACGCCCCTGGACCTGACTCGAAGCCAGAAGGTGTGTGGCACGGGGGGTCAAACCCCTGGGAGCATTTCCATGGGGGCCATGGCAGGGATGGGGCAGAGCTCCGGGAGATGCTCCTGCAAGGATGCCTGTGCCCTGCCACGTCCCGGGGAGAGCCAGGGCATGGAGAGGTGGGGTGCGTTGGCCGGTGCTTTAGGGGATGCTCACGTCCACGTGTCTGTCCTGCAGGTGCGTGAGATCCTGCTGCAGGCCTCCCAGCAGGGCCCAGAGGTGGAGCTGCCCGCTGCCCCGTGCCCAGGTGAGCAGCCCCTCTCCCCGCAGAAGCGCTGTGCCCAGGCAGGGCAGGACCCTCCCGGCAGCAGGGATGGGCAGCATATGATGGAGGCACCTCTCCCACGCAGGGAAGGTCCTGTCGCTGGACAGTGAGGCGCTGCAGGGGCTGGGGGCGCCGCCGGCCCAGGACTGCAGCGGATCGGACTGGATCGAGCTGGCCAAGCGCCTGGGGCTCTGCAGCCTGGTGGAGACCTACAAGGACACCCCCTCACCCAGCGTCAGCCTCCTGCGCAGTTACGAGGTCAGTGCCAGGGCAGGGTGCTCCCGTCCCCCCTGCCTGTCAGGCTGCCGGCCCTGCTCAGTGCCCTCTCTCCGCAGCTGGCAGGGGGCAGCCTGGGGGGGCTGCTGGAGGCGCTGGACTCCATGGGGCTCCGCAAGGCTGTGAGGATGCTCCACAAAACAGAGGCACTGGAGAAGCTGCAAAGCACAGGTATGGGGAGTGTGGGGCTGGGGAGGGTCCCTGCTGCCCCCCCCCCCCCCACCCCCCCCCCCCCAATCCCCCCATCACTGACAGCACTGGGGGCTTGCTTTGCAGAGCTGAAGGAAGACAGTGCCTATGGCAGTGAGTCGGTGGAGGAGGAGCAGGCACCTGCGCTGGCCCTGAAGCCGGGGTCGGGGGGAGAGCTGCCCCACAGCCAGCAGCCACAGGTGCACTGAGGGGCTGGCAGCCCCTGCACCCACCCGGGGGGGCCGCATTGCCCCCCACCCTGTCCTGCCCACGCAAGTGCCTTCTGGACTTGGGGCCCAGCTGCCTGGACTCGGGGGGACAGGACACAGCCAGCTCCCGCCCCTCTCTGCTCTTATTTAATGGTCCCTCTTCTGAATAAAGGGACACAGTTTCCATTAGCCTTTGCCCTCCCTCTCTCCAGCCCCGACCCTGAGCAGGCAGGGTGCTAACCCCCCTGAGCTCTGCCTGGGGCTGGGAGTCTGGCAGCAAGGAGGCAGCTGCCAGCCCCTCCTCAGCATCCCTTCATGCCAGGGCTGTCCCCAGCCAGGGCGGAGAAACCACAGTGCACGCAAGAAGTGAAGAGCGAGTTTTACTTCAGTAACCGAGAGAAGCTGTACAAAGGTTTTTCTCCCCCCAAGCCACCTGGGGCAAGGGTGGATTTTTTTTTTCCTTTTTTTTTTTTTTTTTTTTGCAATAGACTCAGAAGAGCAGAATAAAAAGTTTGACACATTCGCAAAGTCAGTGCTGAAACCAGCCAGGTCCTGGGCAGCCGAGAACAACATGTGTGACAGCCCCTGCCCGCAGCCCTTCCACTGTCCCCAGACCCCTCCCTGTGCACCCTGGGCGCTCCTGCAGCCATGCTCCACCACTGACACCTCACTGCGGACAAGCATCCTCCAGCCCACCCCGGGGCAGTGGGGGCTGCCCCAGCCTGCTCCTTGCCTTGGAGAGGAGGCCAAGGAAGGGGCTGCACCACTGCTGCTGCAGCATGAGAACCTCACAGCGCTATGGATGGGGCTTTGCCGGCAGCCTCTGAGGCCCCAGCCATGCTTTGGAGCAGCAGCATGGGAAGGAAAGCCTGCTCCAGGCTGTGCCTGCTCCACAGGGCAGCGGGGAGCCCCAACTCAACCCTGGCTTTGAGGTTCACCTCCCCCTGCCAGGAGTACTTACAGACTGCTCCCCAACGTGCCCCGGGTACGATGCTCACACCCAGGCAGCACAAACGGGGCCGGTGCAGGCTGCTGGGGGGTCATGAAGCACCAGCACATCAGCTCCCCTGTGCAGCCACGAGCGCAGCAATGGGTGCTGCCACCCCAAGGCTGCCTCCTTGGCGCCGGTGGCCACGGGACTGTCTCTCTCCAAAAGGTTGCTGGTGCCAGAGCGGGGCTGGGGCGCAGGCTGCAGCACATGCGTCTTGCTGCAGGGGGGAGCTGGGTCTCCCCCTGAGTCCCTGTAAAAACATCCTCCCCCCAGAGTGCAGTGCCTACAGGACATGGCTGGGTTTGTGGTTTTGTTTGTTTTTTTAAACAGTTCCCAAAAAAGCATCAAAAGTAGCCCCAAAAAACCCTCCCTGGTGGTCAGCTCGATCTGGTACTAAAAAGTGCAAAACTGTATCACAAAAAACGTTCAAAAGTTGTAAGAAAGCGGGGAGGGTGCAGAGGTGGCTGGGGTGGCACGGAGCAGGACAGGTGCCCTGGCTCCCCTGGCCACCAGCCCCAGGAGAGGGGACAGGCCAGGGCTGGCCCCCTCCTGTCTGCCCCCCATGGCACAATGGAGCTGGAGGAGAAGCGGCCGCTGGCTTTGTTTTGCTGCGCTTTTGTCTGTTTTGTTGTTTTTTTTTTTACCCACTGAAGAATGGAGCCCAGTGGGTGGGTTTCAGCTGTTCCCCCTCCCCAGGGTGGGGGGGACTGGGTCCTGCAGCCAAACGGAGGACAAGGAGGGGCAGGAATGAGTCTGATGGGGCCGACAGTACAGGCAGCTCCTGCGGGCAAGGACCGGGGACTGTCCTGCTCTGCCACCGTCCCTGGCGGATGGGCCATGGCCCTGCCTGGCTGGTGCTGGTGGCCAGGGAAGGGCTGTCACCCCCAAGCTCGTGCCACAGATGGACGGACTCATGCAGGGTCTTGGCAGGCACATGGCCTCCATCCTGGCGCCGGGGGGGCAGGAACAGCGCTGCAGCACAGGCGGCTGATGCCCCTCGCTTATGACTTCTGGGGGTGGCCAGGGGGCTGGCGGCTGGTGCGCTCCGAGACGTTGCGCTTCACCTTGGTAGCTGTGCCAGAGGGCTCTGCATTGAGCGAGGGACTGGAGCGGGATTTTTTCAGGCCATCGTCCTCCCCGCCCGCTGCGTCAAAGAGGGTGGACTCGAACGCTGCCAGGTCCTCAGAGCCAGCCTTCAGCTTGGCCCGCAGCAGCATGGCGTAGGTGCCATAGCGGGATTTCTGGGGGGCACAGTGCAGCAGAGAGAAGGGTTGGTGAGCTGGGCACTGCCCCATAGCCAGCATCCCAGGGTGGGGGGATGCTCGTGGTCCCTCCACCCCAGCCAGCATCCCAGGGCAGGGGGATGCTCATGGTCCCAGAGCATGGCAGTGGCACAGTGCAATTCAGCTGACAGGGACTTGAGCAAGGGGCTCTGGATCACTCAGGATGGCCAAGCAGGCAGAAGCAGAGGGGCTAGGGGCAGGGGGTTGTCACCCAGCTCACCTCAAACTCTAGGTACTCTTCCTTCTGCTTCAGCTCCTCGTACTCCTTGCCCTTCACTTTCTTCTCAGGCAGCGAGGAGCGATGCTCCAGCAGCTCCGCTGACATCGTCTTGAACTTTGTCTCATGGCTTTTCACCTGCTCCTCCTGGGGATGGGTGGTATCATGTCAGTGCCCTGCTCTGCCCTCTGCTCTGCCCCCCCAGCAATGGGCCCAGAAAAGTTTTTCCACTCCTAGGTCCAGCCAGGATCTCAGCTTCTGCTCCTGGTTGTTTTTTTGTTTTGTTCTTGTTTTTGTTTGTTTTTTTTTTTAAATGGCAGGCAAAAGCACAGGCCCTTGGGGGGCAATCTGCTCCCACTTCACAGGAGGCTGGCTGCAGTCTTAAAGCAGAAGACTTTAATCCCCTCTAAAACTAGGCTGGTGGGGTTTTTTTTTTAATCCTTTCCACTCTATGAATAACTGCCCTGGCATGCACGAGCACCAGCTAATCCCCCGGCCAGTCGCCGTTCAAGGTCCTGGCCCTGGCAGGACCCTGCAAGCCGTGGTGTGGGACTACATTCTCCGTGGTCTGACTCCATCATCTGTCTCCCATCCCCACTGCCAGGAACAAGACCTCACTGCCTGCCCCCAACCTCAGCACCCCCTTGCTCCACGTCTCCCTGGCCATGCTCCCTCGGCCCTGTACCCTGCTGGGAGGCAGCCGGGCACATGGCATCACATGGGTCCGTCCACAGGGGACAGTGCCACCAGCAGACCCAGGAGGTCTGCCCCATGCTCCCGGCTGCCCCCATGCCACGGCCCACCTGGGACAGCCTGGTGCAGGAGCTGGGCAGCAGTGGGCGGCTGAACTTCTTCTGGGAGCCGATGGCTGCAGGGAAGGGGGGTGCGGAGAACATGGCTGCCACCACATTGATGCGCGTGATCCACGAGTGCATCTGTTCAGGGTTCCTGGGGAGAAAGGCCAAATGACAGATGGGTGCTAAGTGGCACTAGCTGTGTCACAGGCAGAGGGACCTGCCCTGCAGACATGCTCCAGGTACCCCCAGGCCTGGCCCTGGCCAGCCACAGCACCTGGGGCTCTGCTCCCAGCCACTCGGGCCATCGCAACCCCATCAGGGTGGGAAGAAGAGCTGGGCAAAGCACAGTGCTGACACCAGGTCCCTTTCCCTCCAGAAGGAGCCAGGGCAGGAGAGAGCAATGTGGCCCTAAGCCCCATCCCACCCTCCACCCCAGCTGGATGAGCCCCTGCACCCCAATGTGGGGCCCAGCCGGTGATCCTGGGGAAACTCACTGTGCTTGGAAGAGGAAGACCCTCCAGTCAGCTGTCCTGAGGTAGAAGACGTTGGGTCGCTTGCTGTAGTCAGACGCCCGCGTGGCAAGCGAATGGTGGATGCTAATCGCGTTCTTCAGCTCCTCTTCCGCCAGCGCCTTCCCTGGCTTATACTCCTCCTGCAAATCACAGGGCGTTTCAGAGCCAGCTTAGGGATGCACCCCACCATGAGTCAACTCTACGAGACTGTGGGGACTGCAGGTGAGTGCTTGCAGCGGTGGGGCTTGGACATCACCCTCCACCAGGCTGCTGCAGGCTCTGCCTCCAGCTTGTGCTATACCCATAGGGAGAGGCTGCACAACCCGGGTGCATGGGCTTGGCAACAACCTGGTGGCTGGTCCTCACTGCCCTGCAGCCGGGCAGTACGTGTGCCTGCAGGAGACTGGATTTGCAGCCCAAACTCCCCCGCCCAGGGCAAAGGCCCCGGTGCCTCCTCTCTGCCCAGCCAAGTCCCCGCACACAGGGCCCTCGGTTGGCAGCCACTTTTCACTGCCCAGGCTGAGCCCGAGCACCCCGGGAACAGGGATGACACCAGGTCCCCAAGCAATGGCTCAAGCAGGCATGGTGCTGAGTCTGCTTAGGCCAGGCTTTGCAATGCCATGCGCTGGAGCTCCTCTCTCACTGCTGTGGGGACTGCCATGACCTCCCCCCCCCCCCCCCCCCCCCGGGGGGGGGACCCACCCCCCCCGGGGGCGCGCAACAGCCAGCCCCCCGCCCC